GGCCCCCTCCGCACAGGCCCCTGGGAGCCTCGGGCCCAGGTAGGGCGGGAAGGCCCGGAGGGAAAGCCCGTCTCACATCAAAGGGCCGGAAGCAGGCTTGGGGGGGCGGGGGCGCACCCCCTCATCTGAGCCCCATCCTCTGGCTCCCAGACAGACCTCACGGGCCTGTCCTAGCGCCACGGACCCAGTCAGGACCGGGACTCGCGTCCTCGTCACAGCCGCGGGCACCGCCCGCCTGCCTTACCTGCCAGCGCCTTCTCGTAGTTCTTGCCCATGGCGATGAAGTTGCGCAGGCTGGGGTTGAACTGCTCCATGATGGTCTGGGGGGGAGAGAGAGCGTCAGGGCCGGGACCGCCAGGGGGCGAAATGCGGGGCTGCCTCACCTCCCAGGGCCACCGCCAGGCTTCCCGTGTCCAGGCCCGCCCCCCCTCCACAGTGCCCTTGAACGCCCTTGGGCAAACAGCCTTTTCGCATCCGTACAATGGGGACAGGACAGGGACAGAGCCGCTACGGCCTGATGGCAAGCGGACACGCTCAGACGCGGCTGCGAGAGGCCGTCTGGCGGGGCTGAGTCAGCGAGCGAGGCCTCTCGGCTGCACGCAGATGCTCAGCGCCTGGGCCCTCGCCCACCGCGGGCTTCACTCACCCCTCAATTACCCAGCCTGACTCACAGCGCCCCCAGGAGCAGCTGTGCTCCGGTCTGCGCCCGCACACTGGCGTCTCGGTGCCAATACCCGCGGTTCTTAGATTGAAGGAATGAGATTCCCCCTCGAAGGCCAATCCATGTTTTAATTACGAGGCATAACAACAGGCGTGCACACCACAGCCGAGCGGTTCTCCGGGGAGTCCTCGCCGACAGCCCCCAGCGCGGCGGGAGGAACTTCCCAAGAAGCCGCCAGGCGGCGCGTGTCCACACGGGAGGGGACAGCGGGCACCAGCCAGGAGGGGACGGCGGCCCGCCCACACCCTCCCCTGGCACCTGGGGACAGAGCCAGGTTTCACTTCCTCAGCTCAGCGCTGAGCTCACGCACAATGAACGCGGACGCGGGTGGGCAGGACGGGCACTGCGGTGCCGGCCAGGCCACCTGGGCAGGGCAGGGCCCCACTCCGCTGAGAAGGGGGCCCAGGACCCCGGGCAGGGGGCAGCCTCACACAGGTGCCGCCGTCTCCCGAGGCTGATGCCTGAGGGAGTCCCTCCTCCCAGGCGATGGCCATCGTCCTTCCAGCCCAGGCCCGAGGACGGGTGGGGCAGTGGGTGGCCACTCCGCCTGCGCGTTTCCTGGGTCCACAGCTACTTGGTTGGGGGGACCTGGTGGCCAGGAAGGCTGAGCCCTCCAGTGAGGGGGTGCTCTCTGCTATTTGAAGGTTCACGCAGACGCATTTGTACTCAAGCTGGGCCCAAACCCCCTCAGAAGCTGCAAGGGGGTGCCTGCTGCCCCTGACCCACCGCCCCTCCCGGCACCGAGCCCTGCAGCC